TTGCATTAAATTGTTAGCTAGTTATGAGTAAATTGTCACCTAGTTATGAGTAGACTGTTACCTACTTACTTGTTTTCGTGTTCTATGGCCTTTTTATTGCTTTATTGCTCCTTTGCGTTTATAGCATTGCTTTAGCTGTTTCGATATCTGGTTTTATGTTGAGGATGCTGGCCTCCTGCGCCTGATTGGATGCTAGATTCTATGTTAGAGTGTTTTTCTTTTGCGCCTATTTGGTTGTCTTTCTAGGGGCTGAAGTGATGTAAAAAAAAGATGACAGATAGCGCGGTTAATTTGCTACCTCTATTTTCAATGACAGCCTGTCATGCAAAATTTCAGCGACGGGAACGACAAAAACCCGTCGTCCAAAATGCTTTTCATAATTTTACGGTTCTCTCATTAATGGCCAAAAAGCGGTGGCCCCTACGAGTAAAACTTTTATTTTCTTTCCTTAATATAATTCTGCTCGTGGGGGCCACCTTTTCGTTACTCTTGTTTTCGCCTGAGCCTTCCTAGAATTCTTTCTCGTATAGTTGCTGACCAATGGTCAGGATGTCACGTGATTTTTTATGATTTGCCGACGAAGTCTTACGTGGAGGCAAAATATAAAGGTAAGAAGTATTTATTTTTTTATTTCTGCCGATTTTTTGCAATAGTTCTAAAATATTAATATCTCGGGATATTTGAGCGGGAATTGGCTAATCTCCTCGCTAATAAGGCTTTCAACAACAGATATAGGAAATGGAATATTTGTGTTAATTATAGAATCATATTAGTTAAGTTTTGGTGCATGAATATTATACTGCACTGCAAATTTTTTAATTACAATACAGTATATGAAATATTGCTTGAAAGAGATTTATACAACCAAATTCGAATCAATATTTATATTATGACAGAACAGAATAAATGCAATATTTTAATACAAGAAAATAGAAACATAAACTCATGCAGAACCCCTACCACGGCCCCTACCGCGACCTCTCCCCCTACCATTCACATTCTTTCCTTCTCCTCTCGATATTTTTGGCAGAAATTCTGCAAACGTCACAGCATTTCGCCGTCCTGGTGTGAATCCAGTTGCATACTTGGGCTTGGACATCGTTATGTTTTCTTGTCCTTCCTTTCTAAACTCTATAAACCTTTTGATCTTTTCAACAAGATTGTATCGTAAGCATAAAAGTGTTCTAATAAGTCTAGGTACATGATTTAGATCGGTATCGGAAGTTGGGATCGTAAGAACTGGGATTGTAAATGGTGCAAAAAGATATAAACCAGGACCAATAAATATTAACTGGCCAATCTCAATTTTATCAGCTACAAACAAAAACAAGAATATATTAGATCAAAATCACCTGCAGGTTCAAAATTATTAAAAAAAATTACCAAATGCTTGGGCTAAGAAAATCCCCAGTGTTTCGCACACTTTCCATTTTGGTAACTCGGTACTCAACATAAATTTATTAAGGCCAAAGACACCCTCGCTCAGTAATTTATGCCTATCATCATTAATCTTGTCTGGATCTGGGTTATTAGGCCCTTCCGACACTTCAAGCAAAAACAATGGAATTTGCTTGGGTCGCTCGAAAAGCTCTAATACTCCATCGGCTTTATAGCCGTTATCTTGAATATCGATCTTTGTAGATATGTCTCTTTCACATGAAAAATACTGCGACGAGTCAATAAAACAAAAAGTGATAAAAAAAATGTATGCTAATACATGGGCCGTCCATGTCCGCTCAGGAGTCTTATTCATGGCACCATTCATTTTTGTGATGATGTCAAAATGGTTGGAGATATTCTTGACAATAAATAAATCAGGCATTTTGGGTTGTTCATAGTCCGCCGGAATAGGAAAGAAGTTGGATAAATAGTGATATTTTTCGGGTACACTGCCCAATTGATGTACTATTTTCTCCACTTCATTGTTTTCTTCTATAGTCTCGTTATTACTTTCGTTCACAAGATAACTATCAACCGCTTCGTCTCCCTTCGATTGAGCAGGTACAATATCATCAAAAAACGCTAAATACTCATGTGTCTTTTCACTTATGAATTTTTCTTCATCTTCCAATATTAACCTTTCATACAACGAATCCAATTCACCCTCATCCAAAAGTCTATATACCTGTTTCCATGTGTCTTCATCTCCTAAATCGAGTACGTAAAAATTTGACTCAGAATCTCGAGTTTTCCAGATAGTTTTAAGTTTGTTATAGTATGACGGAAAAGTTACTTTTCCGAAAACATCGGAAGCATCGATCACGGAATTCACCAAATATTCATTCACAACATCAAGTTCTCTTTCTTGTGTATCACGCGCACGTTTTTTCGGTAGAAAAGACGTAATAGGTTTTTGAACTATCTCTCTTAGTTCCGATGCAACATTTTCACGTACTCCCTCAAAAACTTCCAACACATCACCTTCTACTCTTCCAGCAAACCCTTCTTTCTGGAGCTTTTTCAACATTTTCGAGAAAGATATTTTTTCGATTGGGTCCCTTTACAAACTTGCTCAACTCTTGGCAGTAATTACAAACTCCGATTGGCGTGATTACTTGTTCTGATATTAATTTAAGACTTGTGGTATAAGCCGTGAATGCGTCGTTCGGTTTATTAAGAAGATCCGGTACGGAATACAAAAATTCAGGTATTTCATCGTAACGTTTTACTGGAAGATCAATAAAATGAGTTGCGATTTCTTTAGGAAGATTTTCGTCGAAAGGAAGGCACCAATCTGCCAACCCCGGAGGATATGAAGGTTGTGGCATTCTCCGTTTATAGTAAAGGGTAAATTATTTCTTTGTCGATCTTGATGCTGTACGACCAGTCTTTACCTTAATTCTGTTATCACGTGATTTTTGCTTGAAACGCGTCTCGTTAAATATCACGTGGCATAGATTTTTGCTTATCTTATTGCTTCTGGTACTCAGCTAAAATCAGGAGCGGAATGACCTGCTCTTAACACTGGCCTAGCCCTCACAAGTGTAGCGGAATGACCTGCTTCATAATACTTGTAAATGAGGTTGATGGCGGAATTACCTGCCGAGTCTGTGAATGATTTTGTCTGAGTTACCGTCCGCGCCATGGAAGTTGTTAAATCAGGAACGGAATGACCTGTTCTTAACATAGACCTAGCCCTCACAAGCGTAGCGGAATGACCTGCCACACAAATACTTGTAATGAGGTTGATGGTGGAATTACCTGCCGAGTCTATGCATGATTTGCTCTTCTTTTTGGGGCCGGACACAAAACTAACAAGCCGTGCTCTAATCTGTATGACTAGTATGACTTAGGTAATATTTTTTTATACTTTATTTTCAATGATATAGCGGTTATTTCAAAGTGAGAAACATCTCGAGTCCTAACCCATAAATGATATTTCCTTCCTGCTATATCCAATTCTATTTTTTGAGAACGCCTATCCACGTCATACCGCAATATGAAGTACGAATATTTCCGACGAGACATCAGCAATTTTAAAAGATACGAACATTTTTTTTTTGGTTGTGCTGACTGATTGTGCACTTGCAGTTCTGAGCTTACAAGCTAATAGATAATTTTTCATTTAGGATTTCAAGGAAACATATTAACATTACGGAAGGCAAAAAACATAAATCATCGGCGGGTTTACTAAGATCAATACTGTTAATTTATTTCTGACTCTGCAAGTTCCATGCATAACTGACGACCATTTTATTCTATCCAGAATATCGATGTTGGGGACAAATTAATGTTGGGATATTATGTTAGTATAGATAGTTTAGATGAACGAAACACTGGTGTGGGTCTGTAGGGATTAGTATAGAAACATTTCATTTTGTAAAACGAAATTACAGCATGTACCTTTTTGCGTGTGTTAATAAAACATTTTTTTCTCGACAAAAGTGATCTGCGTTCCAAATTGGAACGGACACAATGACTTTTTTATTTTGAATACTTGTATAAAATGGAATCCGAGATTGACTTACTTAGGCAAGAAAATGCTAGACTTGTGGCCAAGAATTATGAGCTCGAGGCTGAGATCGTAAAGCTGAGTCGGATTATTGAGG